CTTGTACGGTGCAAATGTTTCCTGTATTAGCTGCCTTTCCTAGTCCCAGAGCTAAAAAAAGAGCCCAGATGTAAGAGCCACACAAATATAACGTTGATAACCAATTTGGTCCCCATTACCTACATGTAACGTTATATGGAGTGTTACCTGGTCCCCAGAGCTTAAATCCCCTCAAATATGATCTGAACTGTGCTTTTCCTTGTCCCCAGAGGTAAGAGCCACACAAATGCAGTGAATATAGACGTAAAAGTTGACGTTTTTGCACGTAAATCGAGGGAAAGACGCAGGTAGCCCTCCCCACACTACCGAAACTGAGGTATTGCTGCAGCATATGAGTAGCAGTCCAGTGTTCTGTCCAATAGCAGCGTGGCTGTACATCGTCACGCGTACTACGGCACTTCCGGTGACCTCCAGTGACCTCCGCCTCGTTTTCGACCCCTACCCTTAGCCCAATGTGAAAAAGTATCTCCCCTTCCAATAGAGGCTTGTGTTTGGTGTACAGGAAACCCTGTGTATCATTCCTGCATTATCCCAAGCCTAATGAGTGCATGTTTACAGCCACTGCCCCTCCCCCTGGTGCTGCTGCATTATACACAGGCCCCAGGCACAGGCCACACCAACTCTATTTGTTGGTTCCCAGAGTTGTAAACAAATAACTCTTGCCTCTTGCAAACCTTTTGCTTCAGAAGACTTAATGATGATAGCAAAGTTAGATCACAGCCACAACCTGAATATAGGTAATTAAAATTCTTTACCTTGAAATTCAATCCATAGATTTTCGTATTCCTAATACACACATTAAAATGTGATATGAAATGTGGCACCAATACATTTTCTTAAAAATCTCCATTCAATTACAGAGTTATCCCAGAACCATAGGACTAACTTGTTGTGGCCTAATGAGGGCATGTTTACAGCCGTTCCCCCTCCTGCTGCCCCTCCCCCCTCGGTGTAGGCTCCAGTCACCCCTGAGCTCCAGACAAACCCAGTCTGCAGGGCTGATGGTTGGTTCCTGATTACAGCCGCTGCCGCAGGCTTTGTTTGTCCCCAGGATTTCCCGGCCTGAGCGCCCAGAGAGCCCGGCTGGGCCGCGGCTGTTGTTCCCTCTGATCCTATGCGGGAAGTGGTGTTGTTGCTGCAGGAATATTGTTGTTGTTGCCGACTGGGTGGATTGCGTGTGCAGGAACAGACGGCGAAATCAGGTCGGTGGAACGTTGGGAAAAGGAAACACAGCTTACACCAGAAACTGGACAAGGTTTTAAGTCTGGTGTGTTTCTCTTCACACCTGGAGATTTACATGCAGAGGAACTGCCACTTGGACAAGACTGGCTGCTTCTGGGTTTCAGCAGGATGCTTCTGATGAATTTTGTATGGCCTTCATGCAGAGGTAAGCAAGCTACATGCTTACATATGTATGATGGTCCCACTAACAGCATATGTTGGGTTATGTGTTAATCGCATGCCAATAGGTGGAGTTTTATTCACAGTAAAGTGAGCCAACATCTTGCCATGCATGCAGCCTCCTGCTGCTGAAGAATGGCAGGTTTTGCACAATACTGGAGACAGTAATGTCCCATTCTCCCTGCCTTTTGTTATGGAGATGAGGCAGCGCCATGAAACAGGCCATAATAACAAGGCCAGATTTGAACAATATGTCACAAGCTGAGGGGGAGGGGGCTGGAGTGAGAAAATGGCCTGGTCTCACTGGGTAAGGGAATGTAAGGGAGCCTGGCCTTGACTAGAGGTAGCCTCTGCTATATTTTGTATGTAGGAGCTATAACAACTCTGCAGCTGTGTAGCTTACAAGGTCTGTTTCCTGGTTATAGAGATGGAATATAAGTTTTCGAGAGAGAAGTGCAGTTTCACATGGGAAGAACTGCTCACAGCATAATAATGAATAATATGTAGTATTGTGGTTAGACTGATGAATCAGGTTAGGAAATTTATAGTATTTTGCGACTAGCTTTATCCATAGTTGAAGTGTATACTCTGTGTTACGTGTATGTACTGTTCATATAATCCTGTTCATGTATGTTGTATCCTCTGGGCTGGTGTGGAAGGTATAGTCTGTGTTTTATTGTATGGCTCATGGACAAAAAAATCTGGCCTGCTAAAGCTGTCCACAGACCTCTCAGTTCTTATTAACTAGGTTAGATGTCCACACAGTTCACCCGGCAGGTCCGCAGTGTTTACCTGCGTGCACATCCCAGCAAGTTGTGAAATATTTGGGGTGCTTACAAACACGGCTGGCTTGGGCACTGATTAGTTCTGCACAGAGAACCAGGCAAACATCCCAGCAGCAAGGCCAGTGGACATACAAGGCAGGGTTAATATTTGTGTACAAATTATGTACTACACAATGTCATTGATGTAATGGTGTGATGTCAGGCTTCAGCAGTAAGCAGTGCTCTGGGTAGTGTAGCTATAACATTGTTGAAATAAAGTCAAAGCTTCAGCAGTGGGTGAGCACTGCGCTGTAGCTATAATGCGATGTCAGGCTTTTGCAGTGACCAATGCTCTATAGTTGTAACATTGATGTAATGGTGCTGTAGCCACTGTGCAGTGATGCTGTAACTATTACCTCAGGCTTGAGCAGTGACCAATGCTCTGTAGTCCCATCAATGCTGTTATGGTGCGGTAACTGTGACGTCAGGCTTGAGCAGTAAGCAGTGCTCCTCCCCCAGCCCTAGGGGGAGTGTGACCACTACTATCAGCCAGACTGACGCATGGCCACATGCTTGTCTTTCTCCTGATTAAACCCAGGCCTGGGGCAAGCCAAACTCATTACTCACTCCAGCTCTGCCCTGCTCCCTCCTTCTGCGCAGAAACGGGCTCAGAAATCACTGTAGCAGCAGCCAAATCAGCAGGCATCTGGAGAAGCCAGGCCTGGGGTAGTGAGAAGCTGGGTATGTTGAGTAGGTGAGATATGAGGCAGGTTTTGTAGCTGTAGTGCCAGGCAGGCTGCCCTCCAGGGGTGATGCTATCAGTCCTGTCATGCAAATGAGCCTTGGCAGGCCTGACATGGGGTCGGGCAACCTATGCCCATATAAGGCAGTCTGTTTACTCACCCAGATACGTAGTAAAATGAGTTTGGTCAACAGCCAAGGAAACTACAAGTCATTTCCTGGGAACCCCTGGTTTGCCTAATTACTTGCGGGCTTTAAAAGTTCCTTGGATGGTAGAGAAGTTCCTAGTCCACTACTTGGCCGTGGTAAGGTGAGTTTGGAGAGTCTTGTGACAGTGTGGAAGTGGTGAAGTCAGTTAGTGCAGTGGTGTGTACAGTAGTGTGTATGGACTGAAAATGGGAGCTTACTGTGTTTACTTAGGAAGGTGCAGTTTAAACGGCCAGAAGGTCGACCAGAAAGACTGCTTCTCCTGCCAGCCCAGGTAGACTGTTGTGACTTGGTTCAGAGTATCTGTACATTCTGTAGGTTTTTAAACTCTGTAACTAAATGCTGGTTGTGCTGTGATGTGTCAGACAGATGCTAATGAAACATTTAACCTCCTGAGAATTACCCAATTGTCCAACCCCCCTATTGTCTGCACCCCCATTTTGTACCTTTCAATTTCCTATGGGTTCGTATCCTCTGGGGAGTGAAGTGGAGGGGAAATAGGATGTTCTGCTGGGAAGTGGTGTTCCAGAAGGGTTTGGGATGTGGGATTTGGGAAGGGTTTCCTGAAACAAGCATGTTGATATAAAGGTGAGTTTTTTTGTTGTGTAATGAAGGTGAGGTCATTGGACTGTGAACAGGTAAATCTGGTTTAAAAGGTTGAACCCAGAAAAGCTGATGTGGGGAAAACTATGCCTTCTGTGCTGTTATCTGTGTATGTGGAGTAAAAAATGATAGGCAGGGGTCGTAGGAGATTTTTTCTGGTGTCGGTGGGTGCCAAAATTTTGCGATTTTGAAGTGACATTGTCCAGCGGCAGTTGGAACGGTTACCGTGTCTGACAGCTGGTTACTGATTAACCAGGACAGTTGGCGATGAACTGCAGGTGAAATTTGCACAGCATCGATTTCCTGTGTACAGAGATGAGATTTTCATTGCTCTGACAGTCGGGACTTTAGATAATGCATTTTCGGGAATTAGGCTTGCGTCGGGGTGTATTTATTCATGTCGGAATCATGGCGTAATTCCATTTTGGAGCGACAGGGCTGCCTTATCAAGACTTGTAATCAAATAATGGGCAAGCAAAGTAGAAAACGCTGATAATTCCCCACATTTATTCAGCGTTCCTGCTGTCTGCTTTCATTTCTGCCTGCCCCGAGCTAACGTCTGTACCCAGGCAGCCATGGTGGAGTTTTCATGTCTGCCTTGCGGCAAGGAGGTTTGAACTGTCCTACTTTGGTCAGGAGTGTTGAATCTGTAGCCAGGCATAGTTATGGGGAAAAGAAACAGTGTTTCTGTTGTAGCCCCACAGAATGCCTTTGTGTGTGTGGATGTTAATCTGTAGTAAGGTGTGTCAGAGCGTTTTGGTTGTTGTTCACATGATGTGCGATAGGTATGGTTTAGTTTTATTCAGAATCAGATCTCCTTCAGTGATACAATATTCAGTATGATGTACAGATATATCAGATCTGTATTTTGTCACATGGAGGTTGGCCTAATCCTTTACAGGCCTGTTTATTGTTCCTCTGGTTGATTCCCAGCTATCTGCTCTGGTAATCTCCAGGGGAGGGAGTGTGTACCTTGTCCTGATTATTTATCTTAGCTCTGTGATTGTTCAAGTGGAAGATATCTCCACAACAGCAGCCACAGCTTCTTACCTTCATCATTATGTAGTACTTCTTACTGCTGATATCTGTGAATATCTTGTGTAATCATATTTTGTAAGAATCCATGATAAACTGTTTTTATTTGTTGTGTATATGCCCTGGTAGTGCAGGTAGCATATATGTTATAAGAAATTCTGAGTTTTAGAGTTCTATAATGGATATCTTTCACATTCTCATGACATTTTACTCTGTCCTAAGCTCTGTGCTTTTCTTGTGTTTCTTCAGGACCCTGTATTGACGTGTAACCTGTGAACGACGACAAGGCACCGCAGTGCTTGGAATACTGGACTTTTACTGTAGCGAACACCAGCGGAACTGTTCCCAGCAAACAGCGACTGAACCGTAGCAGATCTGTAGCAATACTCAATCAGAGACTGATAATGTATCCAACACAGCTTGCCAGAAGACTCTCTGCTCTGACTGGAGCTTTATTAGTGCTACTAACGAACCTGAGCTCATTATGTGGAGGTTTCCCGGAGGACCTGTACCCACTACACCAAATCCCATACTCTGAAGGTAAACACTATAACTTATACCTAATGTAGAACACTATAACTCATAGCAATATAACTTAATACCTAATGCAGAGGTACAGTATAACTTACAACAATACAACTTATAGTTATACCTAATGTTTAAAACTATAACTTACAACAATATGCCTTAATATACCTAACTTACAACACTGTAACTTATCACAATATCACTTGTATCTAATGTAGAACACTATAGCTTATATCTAATATATGATACAGCAAATATTAACAGTATAACATGCTGTTGTATATCATGAACAAACAAACAATCCTCAAAACACTACACTATCATGTCAAGCAATGAAGAACCAATCTCAGGTAAACCCTGCCAGTTTGAAAACTTGAAATTTTGAAAACCTAATTGTGAAATGGTGCTTATTTAAACTTATATTTCCTAACTAGGGAATATCAGAGCTTGCTTTATTTTGATAGTCTCCTGACTTTCAGCAGACTTTCAGCAGACTGACGCTCCAAGAAAATTTTGAGTGTTTTTCCATCTGGAGTTGGTTTAGCTCCTTGGTTCAGTCAACTCCAAATATGCCTGTGTAGGATTTCCTTATCGCTTTGTGCAAACATACACGTAGTGCACAGGAAGTTTCAGCAGGTGCCAAAATACCTGGAGGAAACACGTTCACCCTCCCTCCCCCCACCATACTTGGGTGACCTTGCTTGGCCAAGGGTAATGGATGTTGCCATGGCAATGTGAGGTCATCCTGCCCTGATCCCAGCATGATGCTGACATGAATTATTCAGGAAGTGTCAGCAGCACTGAGCCTTCTCAGAATCTTAGTTCTGTCTTACGTAGTTCTTCCAGCACAGAATATTATACTACAGTCGACAGAGAAAGCTGTCGACTATTTTTGTCTATTTATACTGATAACCAAATGGGGCTTGTTTTGAACATGTGAAATATGGATTCATAAACCACCTGACAGCGAAGTTCAGATGTCACATGGATCCATGTAACATCTGAGTGTATGCGGCAAGAAGGATTTTCAGTAATTGCACCTGTGAGAGACGTTAGTTGCCGCCCTGAATGTTGATGTCAGAATTGCTGCTGTTTCCTGAATATCCTTTATAAAGACTTTATAACAACCGAGCCTGCAGAAATCCGATCGAGGCAGTAAATAATGTATAAGTCCTTAACCTGTAGTTACTGCGTCTGCTGCTGAATACTGATCAGGACAGAGGGGACATGAAAGGAGGCTGCAGGCTGCATAGAAACTGAATGGAAGGATTCAGCCCCTTAAGCCCAGTCTTTGGCGACAATAATTTCATTAGTTGGTTATTAGATTTACAAAAGAAAATAATAATGTTGTAGCCAAAGCCAATAGTGTGAACCTCAAGGCATTCTCAGTTTCAGGGAATGGTAATTTACAGCTAGGTGAAAGTTTTCCTCCCATTGATTCTAATTATTACATTTTGCTAAATGTTCACCTTATGATCATCAGATGCCTGAGAAACTAGGAATTAGACTGGTGTAGCCCACCCTAAGTAGGTTGGTACTTGAACTTCCTGCGGCTCCTATGGGGGTCTCTTAACTTGCAGGAAACCTCCAAATGCAGCAATCCTCACACGATTTCCAAATCAGGAGGCACTTAGGAGCCCTCCCGGCTCCCGCTTTATTGAATGGAACGGGAAGCGTCTTCCCATTCAGCTCATAAAGCAGCCATTCTGCACGACACACAGAAAGCTTTTTGGCGAAGTGGTCCCCTCTGCCGTGATCATGTCGTCTGGGGGGATTCGTTAAAAGGGAATGATCAGAAGGGGGCCAGCTTTACTGTTGGCTGAGTAGCAGAGTGCCTCGCAGAAGGCCCCGTTCCTCCGATCGGCTTCAAGTTGGCTATAAATAAGCAATCGTGTTGCAGCTTAAGGAGCAGACGGGGGAATTATGGAGACATGAAAAGACTTGTCTCTTGGCTGAAGAGGGCTGAGGAGTTAAGACGTCTTATTTTCAGGGTGACTGCGAAGGAAATGTTAGAATGAAAGCAAGCAGAACTGAAGGCTATTTCAGGGCTTCAGTTCTGGAAATGGAAAATGAAAGGATCTGTGAGCCTACAGTCCTCCAGGAAATGGGAATTAGACTTAAAAGTTAGATGCCAAGTTTGGGATAAAAGTTTGGAGCAGCTTACCATTCTGTTCGTTCAACTCATTTAAGATACACACATGAGAAGGGAAATGGCAAGAGACAGTTGAAGTAGTTGGTGGGCGAGTGTTAGCGAGGATGAAATTATGACAAACAAGCAAAGATATTAAAGTCATTTCACACCATTACTGTACATCACTTACATTTATGTCTGATAGTAATGTCAGCTAACATTAGATGTGATCCCTTGGATGGATATTAGGCAGTACTTGTGAACTGTGGAAGAGAAAATGTGCCAAGAATCAATGTGTGTGTTTCACGGACTGTTTAGTTGATAATAATTAATAATTATTATCAACTACGCACCCTCCTCCGGGGTACTCTCAAATCCTGGGGAGAACCCTGAGTTGATTACTCACACATTGTTCTATACTGGTCCAGTGAATGGCAGATTCTAGGCAGATTCCCCAAATATGGCTGTACGATGAATTTTTCCTGTTTTTCTGCAGGATCCCCTGAATACGAGGTGTTCTGCGGACATCGGCATTCGGACGAGTATTCTAACTGTTCGCACAACTACGAGTTCCAGCTGCTGCGGGAGATCACGTACGAAGGGAAAAACCACCTCCTGCTCGGCGCAAAGTAAGTCAGATCCATGGTGGTTTTATTTTGCCATAGGAGGAAAAGTTTTGTGAAGATTTGTCAGTTAGTTTTCTTCCAGAATTCGTGGTAAGTATGTCAGACAGCTGTGTTAGGGTATGTTTTATTACTTTTTGTTGATTGTCATTTTCAATCAATCAATCCTTTTCCTGTGAAAGGTCAAAAGGGACAAGGTTGCAAAGTTCGATTACCAACTTTTTCAATTCAGTTCCAAGCTTAACTTCTTCATTACTTCTTGACGGCAACTGGTGATGACTGTTATGAGGGTGATTTAATATACATTGTATATAGTCCCCTTCAGTCAATATTGACCATGGTAAAATTATAATTGATATCTACACTACAGCTTTAGCTATGGTTGAACAATACTATACACTTCCGAGGTGATGTAATAATTTTTGCCCATAAAGTGAGCTATAACAGCCCAGCCCTCCCCTGTCACTGTCAGGCCTGGTTACAGCCAGGCTTCATCATGACAGGGTTAAATGCTGCAGGGTCAGAGGTCAGGGTCTGCAAATGTCAGGGACAGGCTGATGAACAAGTGACGACATTTGCTACTTTGGAGAGAGGCCAGATTTTCTCTTCTGGGAAACTTGAAGTTATTACATCTGAAAGGCCTGGAATATTGCTGTCAAACAATACAAAGTAATGAACGACAAGGCTTAAAACTACAGGAAGACATAAAAAAAGGCATCAGGAAGGGAAAAGGTGAAGAACTATCATATAGCAGACAATCCAAATAGAGTGGAAGTCTGGCCTAACATTACTAAAATTCTTTCAACTTGAAACAGGAAAGAAAATTTGCCCTGTTTTCGCTCACATGCCTGAGACAAATTATTCTTAAACCTGATTTTGAAGTGAAGTGGTTTCAAACTTCAAACCGTTTTCTCCACTTGTTTTGCCCACAGAATCCTGAATGGCTGTATTGTATACATGTACAGGAACATGATTTTGAAGTAAGCAGAACAACAAAGCCTGCCTTGTGTGTTGGCCCAGAGTGGCTTCAGTTGAAGCATGACCAGTACAAGGCCTGATGTTACAGTATTGTAATGCAAACCAGCCATTGTCAGGCCCCACTCAAGCCTATCCCATCAATCAACCTATCAGCAGCCCTGTGGGGAGTGACCTGGGTCAGGGGGTAGAGGTCAGACTTCCCATGAGTCAGCCGTCACTGGTGTAGGGTGGTACCAATGGCAGGTGGGGGAGGGTCGTGCCACTCT